TTGCATGAATTTCAGAAGAGACTTTGACCTTTAAACTTCTAGATATATTTGAGACTGTTATAGACTATGAGAACTTTTAAAGTTGGACTGAATGGATTTTTGCATTATGATATGCCTATAAGCCTTTGGGGACCAGGGAATGGAATGTAGTAGTTTGGAAAAAGAAAAAGGACCACAAAGGGAGTGGCCCTATTAGGGCGTGTGACCCTGTTGAAGTAGGTGTCCTTGTTGGAGTAGGTGTGGCCTTGTTGAAAGAAGTGTGCCACTGTGGGGGTGGGCTTTGAGGTTTCCTTTGCTCATGCTATGCTCAGTGTGACACACTGTTCACTTCCTATTGCCCGAGGAAGAACCCTCAGCTCCTTCTCCAGCACCATATTACCTGCAAGCCACCAAGTCCCACTGTGGTGATAATATACTAAACCTCTGAAACTGTAAGCTACCCCAATTAACTGTTTTCCTTAATAAGTGTTCCCATGGTCATGGGATCTCTCTACAGCAATAGAAACCCTAATTAAAACAGTGCCCAATTAGTGGACCTATTCCTGGAAGTAATACACTACTGGAAGCAGGCTTTGAGATTAAAAGCCGTCTGCCATCTCCAGTTTGCTCTCTGTGTTTTGTTCTTGTGATTCAGGATGTGAGCTCTCAGCTTTCTGTCCCTGACACCATAGCTGCTGCTTATTGCCATGCCATTGTTCCATCATCATAGAGTCCTATCCCTCTAGAAGCATAAACCAAAAACAAACTCCCTCTTCCTTAGTTGCCTTTGGTGGTGGTTGGTATACAAGAGGAATGTAAAAGACATAATCATGTGTACATAACTTTGTGGTTTATTATTATAACTGTTTCATTATTAATTATGATTAACTTCTATGTCTAATTTGTATGTTAAATTCTTTCAGGTAAAATAAAAATTATCTTAGCTCAAAAATGACCTTATAAGGAAAATAAAGAATCACAAAATTTGCAAGGTTTGGCTCTACTATAGTTTCAGATTCCCCTGGGAATCTTGGAATATATTCCCTGTTGACAAGATGGAGGTGTTAAGTCAGAGCCCAACAAATCATTTTCCAAAGTGTCTGGATAAGCAGTATAAGGGAGCCCTATTTCCTCCACATCCTTCCCATCACTGGGTATCTTACCAGTGGGAGGTGTGTATTTCTTAGTGTGTGTGCATGTGTGTGTGTACTTTTTAGTGTGTGTGCGTGTGTGCATATGTGTACTTGTGTGTGTGAGTTGTGTGTGATGGAATGGGTATATGTACTTATTAGTGTATAAGTGTGTGTGTGCATGTGCAAATGTGTGTGTACTTCTTAATATGGGTGTATGTGTGTACTTGTTAGTGTATGTGTGAGTGTGTGCATATATGTTGTGTACTTGTTAGTGTGGGCGTGTGTACATGTGTGTGCTGGTGTATGTGGAGCCCTAAGGTTGCTGTCCAACTTTATTTTTTGAGACAAGGCTGGGGGTGCTAATGTGCTTCAGTGACCCAACTGTTTCTGTTCCTGTCAACTCATCCCACCCCACCCCATGGTGCTTGGTTTATAGTTTGTTTGTTTGTTTGTTTGTTTTTTTCTCTCTCTCTCTGTCAAACTCCCTTTCCTCAGATTTTCACATGAGTTCTGGGAGTCATCAGGTCCTCAAAGCCATACTTCTGCCCAGATCTTTGTCAACTGAGCCACCTCCCTAGCCCTTACCAGTGTTGCTCTTAGTATTTTAGAAAGAGAGATTTGTTGTTTTTGTTTTTCTTTTGTTTTTAAGGCAGTATCTCTCTATTATGTAGCTCTATGTGTCCTAGAACTCACTCTGTAGACCAGGCTGGCCTGGAACTCAGAGGTCTGTCTGCCTCTGCCTCCCAAGTGCTGGGATTAAAGGTGGCTGCAGCACAGAGATTTTTTTGTTTTGTTTTGCTTTGCTTTGCTTTGCTTTACTTTGTTTTTGATGAAGGTAATTTTAGATATCCAGCATTAAAAAATAACTTTTAAATACATGAACTCAATCGGCACAGTGTTTTTTTTTTAAGTTTTATAGTTTTGTTTCCTATGTTTAAAGTAGTCTGTAACCAATTTCACATTAATCTTTAGTTGAGGTTTTGCTTTATCTTCTCTTTCTATCTTTAAAAAAATTGTTTTTGAACATGCCACTAACCACAAATGTTAAGAATCTTACATTTTTGTTATGTTGGATTTATATTTGTCATTCCCTCATGGTCATCAGGAGGCAGAACAACAGCTGGAAGAGGCCATTTCTTTCTAGAACATTCAAGAAATTTTTGTTTACTTCTTAGACCTAAACTGGACACATTCTACTTACCACTACCCATCCCTGGAATGGGAATACTTGCTTTATTAACCTCACAAGATAATGGTATGTTTTTGGATACATTTAAGGGCCTTGACTTCAAAAGGACATACACTTTACCTGCACAGCAGGCTATGATAGCTAACCTTTGTTGTCACCTTCCCAGCACTGGAATCACCTAAGACACAATCTTCGGGGCACTCAGGTGAGGGATTTTTCTGGATCAGACTACTAGAAGCAGGAAGACCTGCCTTAGATGTGTGTGGGGTGAACCTTCTGGTAACATCCCAGACAGGACAGGAAAGGGACAGCTTTGCTTTGACTGCTTGCCATCACTCTCACTGGCAAGTTCATCTGTCCTGTTGTTGAGGTGTTCCTTCACCAACATCAAAACTAGTTTCTTTGAGATTCTGGTGTAGACTACAGACCACTAGTTTTCCAAGAATCCTCCAGGTCTCAGTGTCAGATTGGGACTGCTGAGACAGTTAGAGTAAACTGAGTAACTCCTGGATTCTTGGCCTCTCCAGTGTGAGACAGTCACTGTGGGACTGGCCAGATAGAATGTTTAAACCTATCTAAGAAATCCCCTCTTAATATACAGATTCACTCTATCATGCTGTTCCTTGGGAGACCTTGCTCCCAGCAAGCATTTGATTTACAGAGGAAGTCAGGCAGTTGCCAGTAAAGAAATGGCACAATGTGCTGGTGTATACTAGCTGATACTGGGAAGAAAATGGATAGGAGCTGTCAGGTATGCAGGTGGCTTGGAAGCTAAGGAAGGTTAGTTGGAAAAGACTAAGACGATGTTGGAATACAGGTCCCAGGCAAGTGATGAGGTAGATGGTACAGATAATAGAGGGGTTCACAAGGAACGATAAATGCAAAGGTGCTAAGAATAAAAAACAAGGAGGCCACCATAGTTGGAAAAGAAAAGGAATTGGGGAATTTAAATGCAGATGTGGGCAGGCAGATCATTTTAGGAAAGTTTCTCTCAATCACAGGCAGTTTGGCAAAATTTGGTGATGTCTAGGGAAATTCTGGTTGTCCTAATCTGTGCTTGTCCCCCACCCTCTCATGAGCAATAGGGACTTTCCAGCCTGATCACCAACAGTGCAGAGAAGCATTGCTTTGGGTCAAAGCAAGGGCTGGCTCATAAATGAAGTAAATTAGAATGACACTGCCAACCATTTAAACTAAGCTGCTACTTACTTTACATCTGTCATTTTTTTCAAATAAAAAGCTTGGCTCCTTGTTGTAAGTAAACCAAGGGAGCAGGAGGGCCAGAATCATAGACATGTTTCAGAGTCCTCTGATCCCCACCCCATGTGTCTCATGAAGCCCACGCTGCATGGAAACTTCCTGAGTAGGGAGGGTAACCTTAAACCTCAGTCTTTCCTTGTGTTGGAATCACAGGCCTGTGTCAATAAGCCATTTACTGTGCTGAGGGCTTCCTACAGGCCATACAAACACCAAGGAAACTACACCCCTGTCTCCAAAAGTCTTTTGAACAAACCCTTATATATCCTCACCGTCTAGTGCCCTTAAAAATTAGCCTCATGCCATCTTCCACTTTGGGGGTTTGATAAAATTGCCAATTCCTTACTTACCAATTTAGTGAAAAGATGTTAATACCACCAAGCCACTACCATTACCACAGTATTTCAGCCAAATTTGAAACTAATTTTATTTAATACTGTCCAGGAAAATGGAGATTGGCTAGGTCCATACCTGGGATTCACAGAGTATGGCCGATAATTACATTACGCAGGCGCTTACAAAGGCAAAATCCACAAAACTATGTACTTCCTGCCTTCCTCCAATCAGGGGCAAACATACAACCTAAGGTACTTCTTGCCTCCTGCATATGGTCAAGCAAATCCTGTGCAGCTGGAGTAAACAAAATTGTTTGCAGAAGTGAAAACATGTGGCTTGTGACATGAACAGTCACCACCATTGGAGGAAGTTATCTGTTCTTGGACAAGTGGGGTTTACAAGTTAGAGGCATTTTTGTTTTATAGATCTCTTAAGCACAGCAATTTAAACTTATAAAGCATAACTTTAGCCCTCACAGAGAAAGCATCATTTTTCCTTTCAGCATTTGCATTTTGGGTAATTATTGACTGTTTTAAGGTAAGGAACTTGTGTTGTTTAAATAATTGTTTTCTGGAGATTTTTTTTAAACTCTAAAATAGAAACTCACTATGCATCCTTAAAGAACTAGAGATACACTTAATAGTGTATTTGTTGTCACAGTAACCTTGAAACCCAATAACGAATCTTTTCCATTTTACAGACGGGTAGGTAGAAATGTACTAACTAAATTATATTTTAAACATACCCAACTAGGCTGAGTCACAAGCGCAGTCACAGGCTGCTGCCTGAGAGTTACACTCAGATACAGCCCCCCACCCCACCCCGGCCCGGCTCGGCCCGGCCCCCAGCTGAGGTGCACTCATTTATTTAATCCAGATCCCTTGGGGCTGGGTGGGTATGCCTGGCTGCTGGGCGACCTCTAAGTAAGGGCTGGGCCAATTTGAAAGCGGTTGGTACTCAGGACTGGTACAGGAAGTCTTCATTTCTTCCTATTCAAGTGCTCCTCCTGGTTTCTCCTCCCCACGCTACTCCGATAAATCTTCAGACAGACCTGGGAGGGGTCAAGTACCGTCTTGTCTTCCCCGGCCTCGCCCTCAGAGTGGGTCGGGGCAGGCCCGGTAGCCTCGGGCGGCCTGAGCTGCGGGGACGCGCCCGGAGCTCGCCCTGCCCCTGGGAGGTGCCTGGCGCGGCCCGCCCACCTGTTAGGCCTCGGCCCCGCCTGGTCGCTGAGACCGGCGTTTCGGGGACTGGGGCGGCAGGGCAGTCTTCCCTCCCTCCCTCCATCGCCGAGCTCCGGTGCCCGGCGGGTGGCTGCCGCGTGGTCCGGACGGCTGCAGGCCGGGCCTGTGCTCGCTCCTGGGTACCGACGTGCCCGGAACCCGGTCGGACGCATCTGCACCCCCGGGGACTGTCTTGTCGGGAACAGGGCCGCCGATCCCCCTGGGAGGGGTCTGCACCCGGCGAGCGCTTCACCACCGTGCCACCGGGTACCCCAAACTTCATGTATCTTTTTAGCTGCCCGCTCAAAAGTTGTTCTAGGAAGACTCGAAAGTTTCCGCCAGCAACTTTGGCGTGGGCGCCACGATGCCCTTGCTCGGTTAAGGGAAGCCGGAGACATATATCCCACTTCGGCAGCGTGCCATAGGTGTTCATGGTTTAGATTTCCCGCTCCGTCTGTGGTTGTGTTAGTAGGGCGGCCTCGCTGGGCCCTGGGTTCAGTAAGTGGAGGAGGGAGAAATTCTACTTAGGCTTTAAGAGGGAAATTTTGTACTGTGTGTTTATGAGTCATTTTCATGAAAGTGTCTGTCTATCCTGGTTAGATTTGTTTGTCGTTAACTTTTCACCTCCCAGGGTCACCTGGGAAGAGGGAACTTGAATGAGAAAAAGCCTTCAGTAAGTAGATTGGCCCACTGACCCACTTTTGGAGTGACTGATGGAAGAGGGCCCAGCCCACTGTGAGCCCTGCCACCCCTGGGCCGGTCCTGGTGTGTGTAAGAAAACTGAGCCGCCAAGCCAGTCATTAGGCAGCCTTCTTCTCTGCCTGCTGCTTCAGTACCTGCCAGGAATTCCTGCTTTGAGCTCCTACCCTGACAGCCCTTCAGGATGGACTGAACTAAAATATGAAATAAACCCTTTCTGTCCCAAGTTACTTTTATTGTGTTTATCACAGCCATAGGAGCCAAACTAAAACAGGGTTTTTCAGTTTTTTTTTTTTTTTTTTTTTTTAGAAATATAGAAATACTAAGAGGATCATGGTTACTTTCATGTTTTTTTTCAAGCATTTATTCTGATATTTATTAATTTAATTGTATACATGTAGAAACGTTTTTGGCCAACCTCCAAAAGCTCCCACTAGTAATTTGTTAATCTATACGATAGTTGATTAAGGCTTTATGGTTTTCTTATGGATTATGGAATTCCTGTTATCTGTACATCTATAGTCTCTAAGGCAAAGCTGTTTTCCCATTGATGGGAGTGGGTGAGAAAGAGGGCATGTCAGAAAACCAGAAATAGCCTGAACTAGCCAGTGGCCTGATCTGTCAGATTAGATAGCCAGGAAAACCCTTGCTTGGTGGTCATAGTGTCTGATCTTTGAATTTAAAGCCACACCACCCCCTCTCCAGTCACTAACAACCTTACTTTAACATAGCATTCTCAATAAATGAATATTTACATGTGTATGAAATAGCTTTCTTAAGGTATATTATGTAGTATTAATAAATCCTTAAGCAGAGTTTTGAAGTATTGCTTTAAATGAAACAGACATTTTTTAAAACATTTCTTTTTATTTTATTTATTTATTTATTTTGGTTTTTCGAGACAGGGTTTCTCTGTGGCTTTGGAGGCTGTCCTGGAACTAGCTCTTGTAGACTAGGCTGGTCTTGAACTCACAGAGATCCTCTACCTCTGCCTCCCGAGAGCTGGGATTAAAGGCGTGTGCCACCAACGCCCGGCTCTTTTTATTTTTAAATTTGTACATGTGTGTGTTTGTGTATTGGGTATGTGTCTGTGAGTACAGAAGGCCAGCTGCATCAGATCCCTGGAGCTGGAGTTACAGAGGTGTAAGCTGCCCTGTGGGTGCTGGGAACTGCATCATGTCCTATACAAAAACTTCTTGTGCTCTTAACCACCTGCCATCACTCCAACCCCAATATATAGACACATTTATATGTGGATTTCTGACTTGAATATGGTGGATGGCCTTCCCTACTTGGAACTGAGCTTATGGTCCTAATCTTAATTCTGGGGAAAACATTGGAAAAAATGAGTTTTAATGCTAGAGTTTTGTTTTTAACTGTTTATCTCATCCCTCTGCTAACAGATGTGATGGCACCAAGAAGAAAAGAGAAATACAAGCTTCCTGTTCCACTCCCAGAAGGCAAAGTTCTGGATGATATGGACGGAAACCAGTGGATACTGGGCAAGATGATTGGCTCTGGAGGATTTGGACTGATATACTTAGGTAATGTATGACTAAATTGCCAAATATAATTATGGCAGTAATCATTGTAACTATGGTAACAATGGTATTTTAAGAGCTAAGTGAAATAACAGAATTCATAACTATTTTAAAGTAATTTGAAGTTAGTTAATGTTTAGTGCATTAACTATAAACATTAGGTTCAAACTATAACTGACATTACATGTTCCCTGTTGTCTTTTTTCCCCAGTAACTTGTAGAAGACTTTAGAGAGCATAATTGCACAGCCAGACAGAATATGAATTTTCTTTTTGAGAACTTGTTTTCACTGATTTTTATAGCTCATAAACAACAACTGTATAAATATAAATATTAAAAAAACTTATTATATTATGTGTATGATATCTGTAGGACATGTCACAGGGCACCTGTGGAGGTCAGGGGACAACTTTGCTTCTCTCCTTCCACCTTTCTGTGGGTTCTGGGACTTAGCTCAGGTGGCTACCCAGCTTTACCTGCTGAGCTGTACTTCTGGCCCCTAATGTATGACTCTTCATCATTAGTGTCTAGGCAATCCTAGGGCCTAAGTATTTCATGACTATGTTCCACATAAAATTAAGCCTTAGTGACTAAAAGCATCCATTACATGGGATAAATGAACTTCTCTTATATAACTGGAGTTTAGTAGTTATGTTGTTCTGGGGAAAACTCACAAAGTAGTTGCTAAATCACCTTCTGTGTGTTATGATACCGTGAGGGAACCATGCTTGGGTGTGCTTCTACACTGCATTGAAATGTTTAGAAATTACATTGAACTTAAGAGACCATATAGAACAGTCTTAATGCTGTGGTGGCACAGGGAAGGTATCCCTGTGTGGTAGTGTTTGATGAATAAAATACTGGTGATTAGAAAAGAATAATCTGGGTTTTGGGTATAGTAAGTAGGTCATGAAAGATTTGGGTACCATGATTTCAGCAACTCCCACCCCAAACCAAAACCACAACATAAGATTCTCTTCTGTATATTCATTCACTCTACAACTGTTTCTGTAGTTGACATCTTTGGGGCTTGTGCATGGTGGCTCATTCCAGTAATCTCAGCATTTGAAAGGTGGAGACAAGGTCAGCTTGGTCCATGTCATAAGTTCTGGGCCAACCAGGACTATGTAGTAATATCATGTCTCAAACAAACAACCAAACAAACAAACAACATGAGGGAAAACAACCCACAAACAAGGAAATAAAAAGAACAACAACAACAAAAGGAACCTCTTTTGGGGGAATTCTGGATTCCTTCTCAAACAAACATGTTTCTGGATCACGAATGGTTAAAATATCACTCTTGATGTTTTCTCTTTGGTATTTGTTTATTTCTCAAATAGCTGAGGATAGCTCTGAACTCCTGATCTTCCTTCTCCTCCAGGCTGGGATTATAGGTATAAACTGCCATACCTGGCTGTAGTTTGCAATGAATGAAAGAGATTCAGTAAATAAGCAACTACTTACCTATGACTTGTGTTTAATATAATTGGAAAAACAAGATCAGGACAATGAAATTCTATGGGCTGAGCAAAGAGCAAGTTCTCAATTTGAAGAGGTGGCGCATACCTGCAGCTCCTGGCCTTCGGAACTGAAGCCACTGATTGTGACTTGAAGACCAGGCAGGGCTACATCAGTAGAACCTGTTACAAAACAAACAACAATATAAGTTCGAGTGCTAGTTTGGGCAACATAGGCAGGCAACACTTTTCAACAGAAACATAATAGGAATCACCTATATAATTTAAAGATTTCAAAGAGCCACATTAAAAAATTAAGAGAAACAGGTGAAATTTATTTTACTAATATGTGCTATTCAGTTTAAAATATCCAAAATAATTCATTTTATTGTGTTCATGTAAGAATAGTGAAATACTTTACACATGAATGGAAGTAAAAATCTAGAGAGCATCAAGTGCTAAGAGCCAAGTACCACAACTGGCTCGTAAAAATGTAGGCATGTGTCTGGTGAGTGCCAGGTGTGTGGAAATGCAGACATGTGTCTGGTGAGCTCTGGGTGTGTGGAAATGCAGACATGTGTCTAGTGATTTCCATGTGTGTGGAAATGCAGGCATGTGTCTGGTGAGCGCTGGGTGTGCAGAAGGCTGAAATACCTGCAGAGTGAGTGCTATCTGAAACGGGGTAGTGAATTCTTTCCCATAGCAGTCAGTTAAGATGGCTAGTATATTGTCTTGACTATAGGTCAATGATAGAGTTGAGTAAATTATGGCTAATCTGACAGTGGCCTTGGATCTCTAACCTTCCACGTGTTTACTTTTCTAACTTCTAAATTATTTGAATAATTTCAAAGAACTGGGGAAAAGCTTCAACTATAATGGTCTGATCCCTTTTCACTTCTTAAAATGTAAATATTTATTTGTGTTTATTTGAATTCAGGTTTATGTTGAAGATTAAATATCATTTTTATACACTTATTTTATAAATCTGTATGCATACATATACACCACTTGTTTGGCTCTGGTCATTTCGGAGGGCTCTCCATGCTCTCCAGTGGTTGACATCTCTATTCAAGTGCAGAAAGTTCTTTTAGTCTAAGTACAGGTCATATGGCTTTAAATTATTTTGTTTCTTATTACCCAAATAAAATTTGTTTTACAGTGCATTTCAAGATCCAGCACGTTGGGTAGCTTCCCCACTCACCATCTGAAAATTGGAAACTGTACCATGGAAAGGCACCATCATTGGGCAGACCTTTAAGAAACAGTGACTTTGAGAGAGAGAGAGAGAAAAAAAAACTTCATTTTCAGAAGTATATGCCAAATCCTTTATTGTTCTCGGGGTTTAACGAATCACAGAATCAGCTTAACTTGGTTAATGTTAGTTTTCACTGATTATTTCCAAAGCTACAAATAAGCAAGTCCTTGAGAAGCCCCCTGATTCTGGCAGTTTATCATGGTTCTCTTCATGTTGTGTATATGCATTAAGAAGCACTTAAACTCCAGCTTTTCTTAATAACCATTTCTAGGGATTCTTCTCAAGTATGCTTCCCAGACACACTGCTTTGGCAGACCCTTTATCAGCGCTTGTGGCCTAAGGCTGAGAAGAAAGTGGCCTCTCTGCCTGGCTCATTGTACATGTACAACTGTCCTCTAGCTTTGAGATCAATAGCCCAGGCTTGTCGGTAATCAGCAATTTGGAGCAAAGGGGAAGGGGCAGAGAAGTTCCCTGTTTACTCTTGGAGATATAATGTGCCTGTAGCATTCATAGCAACAGTCATAAGAGGGAAAAGAAGTCTGAATACAAGAACAAAGTCTATGCTCTCTCTTTGTATATAAAAGGGGGGGAAGGAGGGAAGGAAACTGGTTAGGGTACGGGAAAGTTGCTGTCATTTTAGTACCAAATGAGCAAAAAACTTTCTGAAACTCTAGGGAAAGAGAGAACTGAAGGTTTGAATTCCCTTTAATGCTACAGACAGCATGGAAGCCACTAACCCAAGGGAGATGTGCATAATAAGAGCCGCAGTTTTGGTGCTGGGAAAATCTGAGTTGAATCCTAACTTGCCAGTAAGTCACTAACAGGCCTAGTGGCTTCCACCTTATTAATCCTAGGTAGTGTTGGTTTCTATTCTATAAAATTGTAGCAGTAACTGTGGATTAAGTGAGATGTTTTTAAACGATTTGGGACCTACTAAGCACTTAGTAAGTAGAATCTATTTACAATTTGCCATTCTGAATATCTGGTGCCATGGTGCACTAGGAAGAGCCCTTCATTGGAGGGATTTTCTGTTTCTTCTGCCTTAAGTTGTGGTGGATTTAGCTATTAATGTTGTAAAGCTAAAAGCACAGACTGTCTACACGTGCCTTTGTGTTTTACTTAGTACTCTGTGTCTGTTCCCTTTAAAATTTAGTAGGATGGTGGAGTGTGTCCACCATTTAGACTGTTTCCTATTTACTTTAGATGGGAAAGGAATTGGACTCCAAAAATTAGTGAAAATGTAGAAAAGAAAAACACTAGGATAAATGTCTACTACATTCCTTTAAAAGACTTTATTTGTTAGAGGGATTAAGGCTGAGCTTGTGGTACTCAGCCCACACAAGTGAATTCGCTTTGTTCTCTGCTGTAACTACAGATGTCACCCATAATCCAGCCTCAGTGTAGATGTGTTCTCTTAGACACAAAGAGACCTGCTCAAGGTAGCTCATTTTGTTCTCTAAGACAGTAGTTCTCAACCTTCCTAATGCCACAACACTTAAATATAGTTCCTCATGTCATGTGGTGACCCCAACCATAAAATTATTTTCCTTGCTACTTTGTAACTGTAATTTTGATACTATTATGAATCAGAATGTAAATATCTGTTTTCATATGGTTTTAGGCAGCCCCTGTGAAAGGGTCTTGTGACCCCAACCCACAGGTTGAAAACTGCTTCTCTAACAATAAATTGATATTTCTGTCTTTTTGTTGTTGTTGTTTTTCGAGACAGGGTTTCTCTGTGTATTTTTGGAGCTTATCCTGACACTTGCTCTGGAGACCAAGCTGGCCTCCAACTCACAGAGATCTGCCTGCCTCTGCCTCCCGAGTACTGGGATTAAAGGCGTGTCCCACCAACGCCCGGCAATATTACTATCTTTTACAAAGAGTAACATAGTATGACTAAAATTGGCCATTTGATGATTCCATCTCAAGGATCATTACTTATTGATAAGTAGTTAAGCTTAGTTAAGTCAATTTTGGAGATTTTTGTTACTGTTCTTACATTACCCTGACATTGCTCTTCAGAAACAGAAAGAATTTGTGTGTGTGTGTGTGTGGGGGGGGGGGTGAGTTTTAGAAGTTATAAAATTTAACTTATTTTCTGATGAGGAGATATTTCCACTTATAAAGGAATAGAAGAATGTGTTTGGTTTATTATTATTGATTTGGCTACAATGGATTGATTTTTAAGGTATGTAGAATAACACTAGTAGCAATAGTAAATGTTATTTTTGAAATGCTTTGTAGTCTTGCGAAAATGAAAGGAGGATAATGGAAAAGAAGGAAAA